AGTGTTATATTACGATTAAAATTCTTGAAGACAGTTTGTTCAATAGCCGTTTCATACTGTTTTTCCTGTCCTACGACTAGCTGTGCAGCTTCGAATGTTAGATCAACGGTTCTCAGATTATAATTGATTCGAATTTCAGTGGTGCAAATGTAAAACTGACCTGACTGATTGCACTCGGCCGGCACTGTCGTGAACACATCGTCAAAGCGCAACTGAAACGAACACGAATTTGTACATCTATGAGCTGCCAGTACCTGGTAAACAATATTAAATAGAACAGCGGCTGTTTCCACTTGAATCATCGATGAAATATCTTGCTTTCTGATATAAAATCGAGCTAGACTTTCTACAACGACAGCAAGATCCCACACAACTAACGAGTTTTGATGATTTCACAGCTTATCTTAATTAAATATTGCCATATGTTATAAAACCTCTGCTTTTCATTCTCTTTGACTGTTTTAATATATATCACACTTTCAATCTGTTAGCTTTTCGTTTCTTTCTCTTCCTTGAATCCACAAAAGATAACCAAACAATAAACATATGCGCATTTGCTTCACAGATTTAAAGCTGATTCTTTGATTCATGCGCATAATACAGAACACAATAACAATACCTCAATGACTTCACTACAGCAAAATGGTACAGATAAATAGTCAAATAACTTTGACATTGGAGTCCTTTTTAAATTTTGCGAATATTTTATCACTTCAGTCCGAAAATGCGTTATACTACCTTTGTTTGGTACTCTACCATTGATTCATGTGATTTACAGAAGTAAGTAGGAAAGAACAATATTTCTGAAACAACGAAGAATAAAAACCATGCGTATGTGAACCGAATAGGAAAAGTCGTTTTATCTAAAAATGTTTTTATTAGATAACACACAACTGCAATTTATTATGGTGCAAATGCGTCGAAACACAAGTATTCTGAGTTAATCTTTATATAGCTTAGATTTATCGCAAACTGAACCTCGGTAGTGTTAGGATCTAGAGTCCATAGTCCATGACCTCTAACTCCTAAGTACGTTCTCTTCTTCTATGGTTGTCCTAGTAGGCCTGTTGTTTCGTTTCATTCTCTCTTCTCCTAGCATGCTCAAAGTTTCATTTGATTTTTCTTTTTTTCTTTTACATGTTCTAGTATTGGACAATTATCACGTAGTGTTTTTCAGTTTTGATCTCGTCGAACCCTGACAGGGAGGAATTAAATTTTCATTTTTAAATACAGAGGACAGCCCGAATTCCATTAAATTTTGGAATGTTTTCATACTATCATTTCCAGTACTGTACTGTGATAAGATTGACAAGAAAAATCACTCTACCACAAGACTTTTTGAATTGAAATAATAAAGCATCACAGAATAAACAGGAAACAAATGATGAGCTAAAAAAAGAGCACTTTGTGTTCATATTCTTTCTTGTACTGGATCGAACTCAAGTAGGTCTACCAGGTCTGAACGCAATCACAATGATCAAATCGATGGATTGGGACTGAACAATGTGGTGGATGCGGTGCAAACTTTTCCAAACAGCACATTTTACATCTTTCGGTACCTGAAAAGTTGTGTGTTTCCCAACATCGTGAATCGACTATATCATTTGGAAAAGCCATGGTGTACGGACATTTAATGAAAAAGAAACAGGAACCGGCAGTGACAACTTTACATTTTTGATAAATGCACATAAACCGACAATTACCCGGTTTGTTGTCTGCGGCGACATCTGGAATATCACATGTCATCGATTTATCACCTTCCAGGTATGTTGGTATGAGATAACCATCATCCGTTGATGTCACACGGCCGTCAGATTTCATCTTAGCCAAATCAGCTTCAAGCATTTTTTTCACATAATAAATTGGACGATCACGACAAGCAGACTGAAGTTCAGAACGCAAAAACGATGTGTTTCCCATTGGATTTTCTTGTTCTAAACGAATGATGTTCGTTCGTTGAAACTGTGAGGCATCGTAGACAGCTGCTTTGGCACCTGGAACTTGTGATAGCTGTGGTGGTTCGACCATCTTTGAATGTCGAATATTTTCGTCGATTGTGCTCAGGTGACATTTTCCCTGATTAACAAAATTAACCAGCTCATAACCACTACGATAATCCAGGTAATACGTGGCATGAACAACGCCGGTATGACCTGGCACATCGATGATTAACAAATCATCTTTTTCGGTCACATTCTGATGAACAATTTCACCATTCTGGTTAATATTAATCACGAAGGAACGATCACATTGTACAAGACCAACAAAGAATAATAATATGATAACAAACATTTTTGTTTTTGGATCATAAATAAGTACGGATTAAATAAGATATTTCATTTATTATATACTAGTCATAGAGGAAGTACAATGTTACTCAATCAAACGTTATCTTTGACAAATAAATAAGTAACTACATAAAAAACAGCGAAACACAATATATAAACTGAATAATAAATAATACTCAGAGATAAACTACTCCTTATGACAGATTTTGTTAAACCTGGAGAATACAAGAGCTCAATTGTTTCTCGATAGTATTTCTTATTTGATTGCCATAAATGTTAAAAATGCCATACCGAAAAGTGTATGTCAGTTAAAAACCCAATTTACGACCTAAACAAACTTTAATCTCAGTAACGGTCTGGAAAGAAAAAATTCCTGTACCAAAAGATAGTGATGCTAGGGAATCGTTTTATCAAATCGACGGACACAAAGAACAGAATATATAAAAACAGAACACAAAAAACATACCAAAAAAAGAAATTACTACTGGTAACATCGAGTTGATTGCACAACTTCAATCGTTGTACAGAATATAGACACAGAACATTGGACTTAGATTTGCAGTCTAGTGCAAAGCTAACTTCATATGTTCGAATGTCTATTCGTCCAAAATCGATTGTGTTTTTCGATAGTTTTAGTTTAGAATAATACTATAATGAAATGTTTTTCCGCTTGTATTCTGACAGAATATAACTAATATCAAGTCGACAGACTTATTGCAATCGTTTAGGGATTTTTACTTTTATTTTCTGGCCTGATCAGATTTTGGACTGAATGTGAGCGACATGAGCTAAGGAACTACGCAGAAGAGTTCTGTAAACGTACAACGATAGTTCAGGCACCAAAACTTGACAAGCTTTTCTACATTTCTCAAAAGTGGCTATTCGTTGGGATTATCATTCGTTCTACTCGAGAAGGTGGACAACAACTAGAGCTTTTTTGTTCTTTTCTATTATTGGTTATGAGAGAAAAGGTTTATGCTGTGATACAAGGAAGTAGATACCAGTGATTCCAATGATTTATGTCTCGATCGATACAGGATATCGAGCTAGGAAACACCCTAGAATGTTATCGGCTCATGGTACTTTCGCCAAAAGTTATAGCAGTTTTTCTGCTTTTCCGAAAGAAACACAGAAAAATCAAAAATTCATAACTCTGTCAAATAAAGGAGTGAAGAGCTCAAAAGTTTTCTCTGGCTCTCCTATATGTTTCTCATATCCATAGAAAGTTTGAGCTTTCCAGCTCGTTTTCGTCCCGAATTATTAAATTTTTAGATTTTCCACAGATTTACCCTTAGCTACGCTCACAATAAAAGAGCTATAAAATCGTTAATTCTTTACCAAAATTTTCGAAACTTTCAAAACTGACGATCGTGAGATGATTTCGACTGAGCT